AACTTATATAAGTTTGATGACTGGAAAATCATAATGAAAGCACACCTCAGTCAGTACATCCAAATCGGCAGAAGCACCAGATGATGTGTACATTCCAAAACCCAAGTTGGAATGGACAACTGAAGACAGGAAGAGAAACAATCTTGACAATATTGCCAAAGACATTCTCTTCAAATCTGTAGATGAATCCATATTTCCCAGGATTAGGAAATGTGAAACGGCCAAGGATGTCTGGGATGAGCTCACAAAAATCGGAGCAGAAGATGAAAAAGGAAAGCAAAACAAGCTCATTATTGCCCTTAAGAAGTTTGAGGACTTCAGGATGCTACCAGATGAATATATCCATGTAATGGAGTCTAGATTTCTGAAAATTGTGGCAGAGGTCTTTGACCTTGGGAAAGAACTCTCTCAGAAGGAGATATCCCTTAAGGTTTTGAGAGGGCTGCCCTCAAAGCGGGATATGAAGGTGACTGCTATGAGAGATAGCAGAGATCTCAGAACTTTGTCAACTGATAAGCTCTTCAGTGATCTTAAAGCTTATGAGTTTGAAATGAAGGAGATTAGAGAAGAGAAGGAAGAAGAACCAAATATACTAGTTCTAGTGTCAGAACCAAAGTCATTCATATCTAATGAGAAATCCCTCAACAATCTCCTCACTGATGAGCAGTTTGCTATGTTTGTGAGGAAATTTATAAGATTCATGAAGAAGGAGGGATCTGCTCCAAAGAAGCCATACAACCTGCCCTTCAGAAGACAAGGGAGGCCTCAAACCAGTGAGGATACAGTCCTATGCTACAACTGTAGACAACCAAGACATTACAAGAATGAGTGCCCTCTTCCATTGGCACATAAATATCAAGGGCAGCAGACAATTGCTCAAAAAGCTGGATACAAAAAGGACTTCAAGGGCAAGAGACAAGCTATTGTAAGTGAGAAGAAGGTAGAATCCCAAACTGATGAAGAGAGCAGCTCAAGTTATGAAAGCTCTTCATCTGAGAGCTCTGAAGAAGCACTACTATGCCTTGGTGTTTGGCAGGTTGCTGGAAACAGCAGCAGGTGGCTCTCTGGAGAAAGCATCAGACAGCTAAACAAAAACTCCACAAGTGAGGAAAGCTGCTCACCCAGATGCTTCATGGCAGCCAATCACTTCAATGATGTTGAGGTAACATCCTACTCTTCCTATAGCTCTAGTGATTCTGGACCATCAAATATTACACTGGAGTCATTACTACAAGACTTCCAAAAAGTCCAAAATCACCATGTTCTCCTAAGATCTGAAAATGATAGATTAAAACAAGACATCAAGGTTATTCATGCTAAACTGTTAGATGTCTTGACCAAAAATAATGTCTCAGAAGAAGAGAACAAAGGGCTGAAAAATAAAATGAATAACTCCAGCATGGATAGTAAAACTTGTGACATTACTGCTGAAGTTATTCTACATAGGAAGAGAAGAGGTCTCAATTATTTATCTCCCACTAGACTCACTCAACACTCCCCATCCACAAACCACCAAATGAACACAAGAAAGCTAATCTACCAAAAGCCCCATTCCCAACACACTCCTAAAAGAAGGAACCAGCATGCTCCCAAATCAAAATCCAAATTCATGTACAAACAAACTTTCCCTAACCATCAAAACCAAAGAACCCGTTGTCAACCAATCAATAAGACCAACAACAACCCAAATACAAAGCAGACCCCTCCAAAATCGAATAATCACTTTCCCATACCCAAAAGGAAAATGATTAATAAATATATAGTCATCCCCCATGATTACAATACCCCAAATGGCTATAAACCTATCTGCTTAGATTTAAATGGTTATAGATGGGCCTGGTTGCCTAAAGTAGTACAAGGGAAGTTGCCCACTAACTTGTGGGCTACTGCTCAACACTGATGAATACAGGAAGGTGCTGGAGCAGCTGACTCACAAATATGGTACATAGACTCAGGTTGCTCCAGGCACATTACAGGAAGCAAGAAGCTATTGTCTAACTATGTTGCTGAAGAAGGACCCAAAGTTACATTTGGGAATGTGGAAAAGAAAAAAGAAACCAAAGGAGCTGGAGACTTATCAATCAATGGACTCACAATCCAAAAATATCTTATGTTAAGGGTTTAAAGTTCAATCTCATAAGCACAAGCCAGCTCTGTGACAATGGATATAATGTGACATTCTCCAAAGACATCTGCTTGATTAAAGATGTCAAAAATGACAAAATTGTGTTATCTGATAGAAGAAAGAAGGACATGTATATTGTTGATTGGAGCTCAACAAAGGAAGGGATCTACTTAGTGACAAAGGCAGATTCAAACTTAAGTTGGGACTGGCATAACAAACTCAACCATCTCAACTTTAAAAGCATCAACAAACTGTCCAGAAAAGGATTGGTGAAAGGACTTCCAGAAATCAACTTCAAGAAGGACCACTTATGTGATGCGTGTCAAAAGGGTAAGCAAACAAAGGTATCATTCAAATCAAAAGAAACATAATCATCAACTAGACCATTAAGCCCATTGCATCTTGACTTGTTTGGACCAGTTGAACCAACAAGCTTAAGTGGCAGAAGGTACATCGTGGTTGTAGTTGATGATTGCTTCAGATACACTTGGACTCTATTTCTCAAGAAGAAGAATGAGACAGAAAAGAAGTTATCTTAATTGATGAAACTGATTCAGAATAAGAACAGTCTTTCAATACAGAAGATCAGGTCAGACAGGGGTACTAAATTTCTAAACTCTGTAATAATTCAGTATTGTGAAGAAGAAATGGAATCCATCACCAAACCTCAGCTGCTAGAACACCTCAACAAAATGGTGTTGCTGAAAGAAGGAACAGAACACTTAAGGAGACCGGAAGAACAATTCTTGAAGCAACAGGATTGCCCAAAAGGTTTTGGGCAGAGGCAATCAATACGGTCTGCTACACCCAGAATAGAAGTCTTATTCACAAGACTTATAAAAAGACTCCATATGAACTGTGGAAGGAAAGGAAGCCAAATGTTAGTCACTTCCATATATTTGGATGTAAATGTTTCATTCTAAACAATGGAAAAGACTATCTCAAGCCTTTTGATCCTAAATCTGATGAAGGAATCTTCTTGTGCTACTCAGCTACACGCAAGGCATTCCGGATCCTTAACAAAAGAACTCTGGTTGTAGAAGAATCAATCCATATGATCTTTGAAAACCACTCCACTGCTCACAAAAGGGATGAAGGCGAGTCATCTAAATCAAAGAAGGATACTGGAAAGGCTCTAAGTTGCCCCCCAGTAATGATATTCAAAAAGATGGGAGGATTTTGGAAGCAGCAGTTGACTCAAATGGCAGCCCACTGCCAGCAGTTAACTCAAACGGCAGGACACTGCCAGCAGCTGACTCATTCAGAATCAACGTCCCAGATGTTCCAGCCGAATCAAATTCAAGACTTGAAATTCCTAATTCGCACACTCTACCAGAGGATAGTGAAGAAGAAGAGGAGGATGAGCAACAAACTCAAACAGTTCAAACAGCTGACATTAGATGGTTGAATACGCATCCTCCTCACCAAATCATTTGAAACATCTGTGAAGGGGTTCGTACGAGGGCAACCATTCAGAGAGAAGCACTATTCTCATGCTTCATCTCACAAACTGAACCCAAGAAAATGGAAGAAGCCCTACTTAACTCTGACTGGATACAAGCTATGCAAGAAGAACTCAACCAGTTTGAAAGAAACAATGTATGGGAATTTGTGTCTAGACCCTATCATCAACATGTGATAAGAACCAAATGGGTATTCAGAAACAAAATGGATGAGGAAGGCACCATTGTTAAAAACAAGGCAATACTGGTGGCCAAAGGCTATAGCTAGGAAGAAGGGATAGATTTTGATGGAACCTTTGCTCCTGTTGCCAGACTTGAAGCAATAAGAATATTCTTAGCTTATGCTGCCCATAAGCAATTCACTGTCTATCAAATGGATGTAAAGAGTGCCTTCCTAAACGGCTTACTAGAAGAAGAGGTCTACCTGTAGCAGCCTCCTGGATTTTAAATCAATAGGTAGAAGGAGCAAGTCTACAAACTGCATAAAGCTCTTTATGGACTCAAGCGAGCCCCAAGAGCATGGTATGATACCCTATCTGAATATTTAGTAAGTAATGGGTTCACCAAAGGCAAAGTAGACAAAACACTATTCAAAATTGAAGAAGGTCCAAACATACTGCTTGTTCAAATTTATGTTGATGACATCATCTTTGGAAGCTCAAATCAAGTGCTATGTGAGAAATTCTCAACTCTCATGCAAAAGAAATTTGAAATGAGCATGATGGGAGAGTTGAACTATTTCTTGGGCTTACAAGTGAAGCAAACTTCACAAGGTATCTTCATCAACCAAGCCAAGTATATAAGAGATCTCTTGAAGAAATTCAAGGTTGAAAACAAATCTACTGTGAAGATTCCCATGAATACTTCACAAGGGTTAAGTCAAGATGAAGATGGAAAAGATGTTGGTCCTACACTCTATAGAGGTTTGATTGGTTCCTTGCTATATCTCACTACTAGTAGGCCAGATATATCCTACTCAGTTGAAGTATGTGCAAGGTTTCAATCAAAGCCTAAAGAAAGCCATCTCCTAGCAGCAAAGAAGATATTGAGGTATCTCAAAGGGAATCCTAACTCTGGATTATGGTATCCAACAAATGGAGGTTTTGATCTCTATGGCTATTCAGACTCAGACTTTGCTGGATGCAAGATTGACAGAAAAAGCACTTCTGGTACTTGTCAACTAATTAGAGGAAGACTTGTCTCTTGGTTCAGTAAGAAACAAAACTCAATTGCTACTAGCACTGCGGAAGCTGAATACATAGCTGCAGGTAGCTGCTGTGCTCAAATACTTTGGATGAAACATCAATTGAAGGATTATGGTGATGAAACAAAGGAAATTAGCATAATTTGTGATAACACAAGTGATATTGCAATTACTCATAATCCAGTATTTCACTCAAGAACCAATCATATTGAGATAAGGCACCACTTCATTAGAGAACATGTTGAGAAGAAGACCATCAAGTTACAATACATTCCCACAGAAAAGCAGTTGGCTGACAAAATACAGGGAAAATGAAGAGAGAGAACCTCATCCGTCTCTCTAAAAAACCAGTGTGCTATTAACACCGTACATGGAATTCCGGCACCCAGTACACCATCGGATTCCTCACTACCCTATCCTTGAAGACTACCACTCAAATCAAGTGCACTACTATGGACATCGACTCATCAACAGGAACCACCGCCAACGTTGGTATGAGCACCCCCGTTCCAGGCACTCAGCTGGCACCTTCACGAGGAGCAAATTGAACACACCTAGAGCAGGTAATAACTTCTACACCCGTCACTGCGATAGTTCCAGTTTTTATCCAACCCGTTGGATTAGACATCCTGAGTATCATTTCAGACCTCACACTCATGACTCATGGAGTCCCTCAATTCGAGCACAGGCAGGAAGACACTACAGAACCTACGAAACTCCAATTGAGCACAAAACTAAACTCGACTTCGATTATGGACCGCACCACCGGGACCATCGTGGTGATTATCTTTATTCTAAACAGCTCCGGGCAATTCACCAAAACTCACCCATTAGATCCCAATCCGGGGAATCCGACGATGGCTGGTGTACGATTCACAGGGGACGAAGACACACCCACCCCAATCAACACCCCCCTCTCTTCAACATAAAAACCCAAATGGAAATCCTGGTGTTGGTAATTTTAATCGTTACTAGTGCTTAGAACTTGATGGAAATCCTATTTCAACACAACCCTTGGATTCTAACTTCGAATCAGTTAAGCCCCCCATCCCCAACTTAAACCAGCTAATTAGTAAGAAACACAACGGAAATGGGGGAAAAGTCACAAGTGTCGAACGAAATCGACGTTCTGAGAACCCAACCACATCAGATTACGGCATCCTAAGCCGTAGGCTGGAAACCACCATGCTGGACCCCCGACCGGTTACGCCGGTATTTTCTTCCATTCTGAAGACTTGGACAGAAGCCCCATTCGAGTCAGGGGCGAGACCAACGACCGACAACTCCTGCGGTGAAAGCCAGATTGCGGTACAGACAACGTCTGCCAATTTTTCATCCTTCACATGGGCTAACCTACTCAGGCCTGAAACAAAAAATCTGAAAGATAAGGTAAAAACGGGACAAGTTAATTATGACTCAGCCTTGGACCAAGCAGAACTAATTCGGGCAGAATTAATTCAGGCAACACGAGATGTTTTACCCAACAATGCAGAAAAATTCATATTCTATGGGGAGGAGGGTTTTGATTCGATCAAAATTGGATCTTCTCTCTCTCCAGATTCACCGTCAGTAATGGAAGAATTGACATTTTCGAAATTAAAAAATTCACACTGTTCAGGATTAATTTCAACTCTCAAATTTTAATTCTAGGTAGAGCAGGAGTTTTGGCGGTTACCTCATATTTCAACAAAGCAGGTCGATACTTCAAAATCACTAAAAAAAGGGAGCTCTATTCTGTTCCACATGGCCATAGAGAATTCCAATCTAAAAGCTTTTTTGGCAGTGTTTTCTAATTTAATGGGATTGACTACTTGTTGGGAATATTTTATGGTGTTCAATCTAGTTAGTTATCTTTATATTTGTGTAGTTATTAATTAATCGTGTAATACGGGCCACAAATGTGTATCAGCCCGTGAGCTTCCTTGTAACCCGTAAGTTAGCTAAGTTCTCCTATAAAAGGAGGCTAACTTACGGGAACCAAATCTAATCGTAAGAGGCTTAGAGACGCAGAGGCGAGATAGAGAGAAATTAGGGTTGCCGCTGCTCTCCTTCTCCAGGGAGAGTAACGGCAGGTTCATACGGTATACCAGATTTGCGTTCAATCTTGTCGATTTCTTTCTATCTGCTTCTTATTCTTCTTGTTATGATTGTTGTATGTTAAATTCTGGGATTCACATTTGGTATCAGAGCCGAGGCGTGAAACAGGTTGGATCTGTCTGCGATTTTGGATCTAACGAAGAACTGCTCTGTTTTTCTTCTGTTTTTCTATTTGTAGAGATTTGCTCCTGTAATCTCGTTTGTGAACGAAATTTTGTAAAAATCATACTGTTGGATTCGCCTTTTAAAACCGATCCAGCAGCATACCTCTTTTTTCGTTTTCTGCAATTTTTATATTTCGAAGATCTCTACTTTGAGATCTCAAAATCCTTATTTTTCACTGCTGCAGAATCGTTTTTGGCTTGAAACTGATACAGGAGAATCTCGACTTTCAGGGCTATTCAGAACAGGTTTCCGTTTTTCAAAAATCAATGTTTTCGTTTTGCAGGATCTCGACATTTAGGGACTCGATTTCCTCTTCTCGACTTTTGAGATCTCGAGATTTGCATCTCGACATCTTGATCTCGAGATCTGCATCTCGACATCTTGATCTCGAGATCTGCATCTCGACATCTTGATCTCGAGATCTGCATCTCGAAATCTTGATCTCGAGATTTGCATCTCGACATCTTGATCTCGAGATTTGAATCTCGAAATCAAGATCTCGAGATTTGAATCTCGAAATCATGATCTCGAGATTTGTGATCTCGAGATTTGGAATTTCGAGTTTTGGGATTTCGACATTTGGGATCTCGATGTTTTGGATCTCGACATTCTGAAGATTTCGAGATTTTCAAAATTTCTCGATGTTTTGAATCTTTCAAAGTTTGCAGTTTCTTGGAACTCATAATTCGAATCTTGACATCCTTTGCAGTTCATCGAAGCTTTATATTATAAGAATCTCTAAATGATTCCCTGCTTATAAATGTTTCAGGAGTTTTCGATGTTCTGATGTTTTTCAAACAGCAAGTTTTCGAGATTATGAGGTTTTCGAAACTCCAAAGTTTTCGATGTTCAAACATTTTGAAATTCTGCAGATTTCGATATTCTGAGGTTTGTTTTGCGGGTGGATTTCGTCATTATTCTTCGAGGCAATCTCTAGAATTTTGTTTAAAATCCATCTTCTCTCGACATTCAACATCGAGCACCTCATCTTCGAAGAAATTCCTCAAAAACTCAAAATTAGAGATTTTCTGCGACACCGCACTGTTTTGGCCATAACTTTTGACTCGGTGATCCGATTTGAGCAAACTTTTTTTGTTAGAAAGCTAACAAAAAGATCTACATTAATTCTAGGGCTATGCCCCAGAACCCATTCTCACGCGCCCTCACTCGCAGTCTTTGAGGGTCAAAACGTTAGTTTTCCGACAAACATTGTAAATCACCGATGTCCAGGTCAAAACTTAGGCAAATCTGTTCAAATTCTTTCAATGTCAACCCTAAGGTCAAAGCTTTTCTAAACTTCAATGTAAAGGTTTGAAAATCGTAGATAATTCAATCAACCTCGCGTCAATGGTCATTTTACAACAATCAACAATCAACTGCTGAAGCCTCCCCTGACTCATCCACATTGTGTGATCATCAATATGCTGAAATTCTACATGGTGAGCTCAGGGAAACCGTCATGTGTGGTACTTGTTCAGATTGCTCCACACACATGGCGGGTATGACAAGCTGTGAGCAATCAAACCTTTCACATTCTGAGGGGGAGTTTCAGTTTTCTCCTCCTGACGCCTTACACCGACAAAGCAAGGAATCTCTCAAAGGATGCAACATTTTAGGGGGAGTGTTCAATGTTATCCTCCCCGGTGCCTAACAATGACAAAGCATTCCGAGTGCTTCAGTTGAGGGGGAGCACAGAGAGAAAATGAGGAAAGTAATGAGAGAACATGTCCCTATGGCTTAGTAAACCCAACTAAGCCTACCCAAGGGACAAAGCCGAGCGTAAGTGCGTAAGTGAGCGAGTGAGTGAACATTATGAGCATTAGGAAGTAGAAGGCTCAAGTGAGAAGAAAAACAATTATCAATGATGAGTCTGCTACCTCAATTGCCTGCTATGAATTGAACATTTGCTCCTAGCCACTAAAATACTCTGGACTATCCCCATAGGTTCAGGACTGAATTTATTCAGATCCCGGGTAGAAGTCGCTGCATTTTGTCCAAACGGCGCATGCACAACCCTACCCTAGACCACTCACTTGTCTCCCAACAGACAGGTGTTTAATCATAGTTCACGGGGAATCGCATCTCTCATTACTGTCTCCTTCCGAGGCAAGTAATACTGACTACAGTGGCCTCAGCCCCATGCCACTGAATTTTCATTGATCACGTCGTGTCTAGTTACTCACTTCCCAAATGTTTTGAAATTTTCTAGGACACAGACACATTTTAGAGTCAGTTGCTAGTCTTCAAGACTTGCGAGAACTTCCATAGGGCTCATCTATTACAGATGTAGACCAATAATTGGAAGGAAGTCCTGCTGTTGCAACATAAGAATCACCAACATTTTCAGGTCATTGCTTTAGAGTTTATCTCTATAGTGATGATAACGGGCGTCTTCACGACCCCGGGGGGCTACGTTGTCTTTTTTAGATTCTGCTTGTTTTTCCTGTTTTTATTTCCGCAGAATAAGAGAATAAAAGCATGACGTCCCGATTCATCGGATCGTCATGAGGGGAGAGTGGTCCACATGCTGTTAACACTGAACAAATCATTCTGGGACACTTCACTCCTCCTTCACAAAAATCAATACCTTCTCTGCTATCTCTACAACTTAAATCAAATGGTCAGCTACACTCACAAATCAACAATCATCATGATCCGCTGTGCCACCGACAAGTTCTCCTCAAATGCATTCATTCCAAATAGTCAAAAAGACTACATTGTGGAGGAGACAGAGGTCAAATACTCGTGTCCTGGAGATGAATTCCATGGGCGTCTCCTGTTTCTCCGAAGAATATTCATTCTAGAGGCGTCACCGGACTTCATCCAAGCTGATCAAGAGCAACTTCTGGAAGGCAAGGACTACATGCAAGATACTGAAGGTACCTCAACCCCCGGCATCAAAGATCAAATTGTCAAGAAGACATCAAAGGGGAGATTGCAAGGATTTCTTCAGATAGCCTTCCTCAGAAGTCAAGTTCAAAGACAAAGGAAGCTCAATAACAACAAAGACAAAGATATCTGCACTGCAATGCTGATTCAACACGATTGATCACCAAGGGGGAGATTGTTGGGAATATTTTATGGTGTTCAATCTAGTTAGTTATCTTTGTATTTGTGTAGTTATTAATTAATCGTGTAATACGGGCCACAAATGTGTATCAGCCCGTGGGCTACCTTGTAACCCGTAAGTTAGCCAACTTCTCCTATAAAAGGAGGCTAACTTACGGGAACCCTAACTGATCGAAAGAGGCTTAGAGGCGCAGAGGCGAGATAGAGAGATATTAGGGTTGCCGCTGCTCTCCTTCTCCAGGAAGAGTAGCGGCAGGTTCATACGGTATACCAGATTCGAGTTCATTCTTATCGGTTTCTTTCTATCTGCTTCTTTATCACTGCTATGGTTGTATGATTGTTAGTATTTTGGGACTAACACTACTTCAGAGCAGGAGGATCTCACGCATTTGGAGCATGCGTCGGCAGTTAATACCGAAGAAATAACCATTTCCAAACTTATTTTTAACTATGAAGTGCAGAGAGCCTATGGCGAGAAGCAAGAGCCCCTCTCTTTTGAGAAACAACCACAAATTCCACTTATTTAGGCGTACTCTGATGCCTCGGACAACTTTGATCATTCCGATAAGTCATTCTTTTCAGATGACTTTCTAGGCCATGCAACAGAAAGTAATCGTCGTCCGCCTATATCAAACCAGGAAGAAATTGGGAGCTCCAAATTGAACTGAAGGATTTGTCGTAAATCAAAGTTCGTCACTGTAGAAAACTATCTGCCAATTGAGAACCTGAACACACAACTCAAACTTTACAGGAAATCTCAGCAAAACAAAAGGCTACATAGCATGAGGACTAGATCGCAGTTTAGAGATTTCCCTTGGGTCTAGTTTTTTCTTGTTTTACTCTGTATTTCCGTTTCTGTATCTTTGTTACTTTTATTTTGCTTCTTGTATTGTACTTTTATGGTTATGAATAAAATCGTCCTTTTCCAAAAAAAAAACAGTTGGCTGACATCTTCACCAAGCCATTGAATGAAGCAAGATTCAATACACTAAGACAAGAGCTTGGAATGTTAGATGGTATTGATCAAGTGACGGAATAACCCTGCATTTATTCAGGGAGAACCTGATTCTCAAATCAAAGGGGAATTCCCGGCCACCTGCTGAGGGGGAATTCTTGAGCAGTACTCACAAGGAGCCACCTGCTAAAGGAATGTTACTTAAATCCACAAGGAATGAAGCATCAAGGTCCAAGAAAGTCAATCTCAGACTTTCAAACATAAAAAAGAGTCAAATTCAAGCAGTAGGCTCAACAGGTGACTGCCCCTACCAGCAGTCGGCTCAGCAGGTGGCTGCCTTCAGCCCACTGCTACATTTTCCTTAAGACTTGTGAGAACTTGCATTATATATTCCATACAAGAAGGAGAAGAGAGAAACAAGGAAGGTGAAATGGAGGTAAAAACACTTGTTCATAAAAATCGAGCAGGTGCCTGCCACAGGGCAGCAGGTGCCTCCCAGCAGAGGCCTGCCTCAGCACAGCAGTAGGCTCAATTTCTGACAAAAATAAATGGAATCTCAGCAATTGGCCTATGTCATCTTGATCCTCTCATATCAATGGTTCCAAAAAGGTAAATTTCGCTCTCAAAAACCACCAAAAATCTACCCAAGTTTGAGCCCCCTGCTACCAGTGTGAACACAGAAACTAGCAGTTAATGCCAAGAGTGACCAACCGTATTCTCCAACGACTATATCCCAACGACTACTTTCTGATAAACTATAAATACATCCTCCGCACAACTCCTTCACACTTTTTACTTGCAATCTCTCCCTAACCTCCTTTCTAAATTCTCAAGCACTCTCAAAGCTCTCAAAAGCACTCATACAACCATCTCACTTTCACCACACCTTCCTAATCCACTC